TTCGTTTCAGGTGACCAGGCTCGCGCGGTGCAGTCGATCGCAGACGCGGTGGGCATCCCGGCAGACAAAGTGGCGGCGGAGAAGGACTCCGTCGGAGAAGCGCGACTACGTGGCGGCCGTCATGGAAGACAGGCGCAAGTACGTCATATTCTGCGGAGACGGGACCAACCGACGCGGTCGCAGTGGCGGAGGCGCACGTCGGCGCGCAGATGGGGGGTACCGCTCTCATCGAGCGACGTGACGCAGGGCGCAGCCGACGTGATCCTCTTGGCGGGCCTCGACGGGATTCCGTTCCTCCTCGACGTCAGCCAGGCCTCGTTCAACCGCATGGTGTTCAACTTTGCGTGGTCGGCGGTGTACAACGTGCTTGCAATTCTGCTGGCGGCCGGGGCGTTTGTGCGCGTTCGAATCGAGCCGGCGTATGCTGGCTTGGGCGAGATTGTCAGTGTGCTGCCGGTGATACTTGCGGCGCTGTCGATGCTTCTGCTCAACATTCGCGGCAAGCACCAGCAGTAGGCGAAACAAGGGTGCGGCATTTCGACGGGTGGAAGATGAGGGCGGCTCAAGGTGCAGCAGGGTGGTGACAGGGTGAGGGGAGGAGGCGGACGGGCAGCGTCTGAAGGTTAGTCGTTTCATCTTGGCAGTCGTCGAGGTGGCTGTGTAAGGTCGTCTTTTTAAACACCTGTCAGATGGGCTTCTGTGAATGTCTGTGCTTTTCCCTGGTGACCGTGAGTTTGGGTCTCGCCCGGACGGAACTCACGACAGCTGTAAATAGCGGCAAGGGCGCGGGCGTGGGCGTGAGGTCGTTGACGATGGACTGACTGTTTTGGCCATGGTGCGAGAAACGCTTGGCTGGGCTGGGTGGTTTGAGCTGGTCATGACGAGATGAGGAGGGTGAGGTGTGCCGGATAGCTGAATTTTACCATCGTCAGTATTCTTCTTCTTCTTCTTCTTCTGAGAAATGTCCTGAGCGCTGAGTGTTTTTCAAAAGCGAGTAAACACGGTACTGCGCTGAAGATGCAGGCCAGGTCTCGCTGGCTGGCCGGCCGGTGGGCAGGTGTAAAAAGAGAGAGGGCCGATGCCACCGACGTTCACCGAATACTAGCGGCCGTGCTCCGGGGGAAGGAGGTAGTGAGGGGGTCCTCCTGCCTAAAAATAGGGCACTCACCCAACTGACAGCTGTCGCCGTTGGGAGTTCCGTTGCCTGGCCTCAAACCACGCTTGCATGCCAAGCCAAGACGTCTCATCCGGGGCACATCAAACACAGCTCACCGTCAACCTTCATCCAACGCCGCCCCCCCCATCGACCAGGTCCATCAACTAGGCCCATCGATCGCCTTCTTCGCACTCCGTCCCATCTCATCGCCCCTCGTGGCTGCAACCCTTGGGCTCCGACTGCCAAGGCGTGTCTCACGATTCCCTCTTCTGTGCTTTTTTGGACGCAACTCCGGTCTCTGCCCGTCCTGCTACCACAGAACACTCAAGCCAAGACCAGTCAGTCTCCGCAGGATCGCCCGGGCCCCTCACGATCCCCTTCTCCCCGCGTCGACCTGTCTTTGGGTTTGCCTTCTCCGGCTCGTGTCACCTTGTATCTATTTCCCTTGGCGCCGGGCCAGGGAGAGTCCCGGTATTGAGGGAGGGTATATCACCCAGCGAGTGCCCAGCTTTTGGCGTGGTGAGACGATCCTGGGGTCGAAGAAAAGCTTGGCTCTATCCTTAATTCTTTCCATCCACACACACGCACACACATACACGCGCACCCACAGGGACAACGTCCACACAATGGGCATCACGGAGTCGACAGCCTCGATGAAGGCCTGGCTCCCAGGGCACCTCAGCCACAAGTACGAATCATTACCAGCACACAGCCCGACAGCACCCACATCACCGGAGAACCACCGAGGCTTCTGGAGGAGAAACAAGAGATGCATCACCGTAGCAGGCATTACGGCCCTCGTGCTGGTGGGCGTGCATGCTGGTGCCATTTACAGGTAAGCCACCCTCACGGTTCGGTCGACAAGCCAGCAGCCCAACCTCCCTGCTCACTCGGGGAACAGACACGTCTCACGCGGCCGGCACGAGATGGAAGATGTCTCCCGGCTCTGGGGCCAGTACTCGCCTTTCTACCCCGTCCCGTCCGAGATTGATCCTGCCATTCCCGCGCAGTGCGACGTCACGTTTGCACAGGTCCTCTCGCGCCACGGCTCGCGCGACCCCACAGCTGGTAAATCCGAGGCGTACCTCGAGCTCGTCGGCCGTATCCAGGACGTTGTCGAGGACTACGGCAAGGGCTACGAGTTCATCCGCGACTACGAGTACACGCTCGGGCACGACCAGCTGACGGCGTACGGCGAGCGGGAAATGGTCGAGTCGGGGGCCGCGTTTTACCGACGGTACCGGGCGCTCGCCGCCATCTCGGAGCCGTTTGTGCGGGCGTCGGGCCAGCGACGTGTCGAGGTGTCGGGTCGCAACTGGACGCAGGGGTTCTACGCAGCGCGGGCGCAGGACGGGCTCGAGGCGCCGGACGATGTTGAGGACGAGATGCTCATCATTCCCGAGCGGCGCGGGGCCAACAACACGCTGAGTCACGGGCTGTGCCCGGCGTTCGAATCCGGCCCCCTGGCGCGGCTCGCGAGA